GGACAAAAATAAGACTTTCGGTTTATTCAGTAGCAGTAAACAGTCTCCAGTACCTTTACTTTGACTACCAGGACCAGATAGAATTCGAGCATTTAATATGCTTAATATGCTTTAATATTAATATGCTTCTTGCTTTTTATCTAATTGCAATAGGAGCTCATACATTTAGTTATTCTTACCTTCCGGCGAAATATCACTCGTTTAAGATTTTCTCATGGCTACGGCCTAAACACGGCCTGGGTGGTCTACTTACCGCTTTCTACCATAGTTAACGACTTTTTAATTATGCATTTATAATTTACTTTCCTAGATGCACTTTGAATCCTACCACCAAACTCCGTTCTGTCCCACTGCTAACGACGAATTTGACGACAACCGCATCTGATAAAGGTCCAGAATTTCCTAATGTCCCTCTGTGGACGGTAAGTGTCCAATTACACACCTCTCTCTTCCCTCTTTACTGTCTGATCCTCGAGGTGGTTATCTTCACTCAATCGCCTGCTGAACTTTTCGCATCCATACAGTGAGTGTGACAAAGCTAGCCTGTCCAATAGGTTCAAAACAATGACCTATTTTCTTCTTCGGAAATTACGATCAAAAAATTCCAAAGAAAAGAGGTAGTCTTGGGTCGCATAGCCATTGCCTCCGGTGAATACGGCCTCAAAACTGAGTGCTGAACTTACAAATGTACTTCTCTGCTGTTTTAACATTACAAACGGCACACCCCTTATAGATGGCAAGAGCCCAGAGATGGTCAGTTGCTCTCTGTACCTCTTTCTCTGCACCTTAGAGGGACTAATACCAGGATATAGTGAGTCGCCACGTGCAACTTTTGCGTAATATTTTCTGCCGATTGGAGTTGGCAGTGATGTCGCTTCGAGGATCCTCGTAAAACAATACATTGCGGCTTAGTAAAAGTAAAGGTCATTCGCCTTTTTTGTCGCGAAAGGAGGTTTCGTGCGTTGTTAACTTGAGAAAGATAGAATTTGTCGGTGGCAATGCGCGGCCCAGGAAGTAGTTAGGAGAAAGTCGACGCGACCGCTAGAACAAGAACTTTCTTCGTCTGACGTTTAGCATTTATTCTCGTGGAAAAATTATGCCAGGTCGCGGCTGATGTGATGAGAATCGACCATGCATTCACATTTGACGAGACGGAAATTCTGACGAGAGTTGACACTCGCACGTGCCGCGAGCTGTTTGAGTCTTGGTAC